GTCTCCCCTATGAAATAGATGTAATAATACCTGCTCTGGCTGTATTGCAGGATTATTGTATGGACTGAATATGGTAATGGATATGAATGTGTGTTGGAAGATGACAGTCTACTAGATTATAAGCTCCTATAAAGGCATCTTTTTCTGTGGAGAACCATTAACTCTGCTGCTAGTAACTGTGTGGCATAACCATAGATTGGCCCATTCTGGGAAGGAGCATTATGGAAAAACATACCAATCAACTTCACTGGAGAGATAATCATTTAGTTATCTGACATGTCTATATTTTAAGTCAATGCATCCCCCAAATAACCTCCAAGTATGATGAAGAAGCCTGTCTAGGTAGTTTCAGGTGATTTGACAAAAATTTTATCTTTGTTTAGAGAGATGTATGCATTCTTGGTGCTTAGTACAGAACTTGGCACATAGAATGTGCTGAAAAGAGCGTTATTAAAAGAGTAACCATGGGAGCTGGGGATTTAGCTCAGTGATTCCACCACCTGCCTTGCAAGCGCGAGGTCCCGAGTTTGATCCCAGGTACCAAAAAAACAAAAATTAAAAGAGTAATGAGTAAATAATGGAATTTAAAGCATTATTATTAGCCTGTCTTTGCCACATTTGATTCTTTATCTTGAGATAGATATTAGATGTATTTTCAGTTATGTGCACAAGTTGTCAGGTCAATCTCTACTTCCTGGGAGATTGTCCTTCTCACCTAGCCTAAGACTTGCCTGCAAGAAAGCTCCGTGGAGCCACAGATCCCTGGCTGCTGAGGGGTTGGAAAAGCCAACAGCTTTTCACTGTATCTTTCCCTTTTCCAGGCCATTAGTAGCCTCATCTTGTGGCTGTCAGTCCATCTCCAGTCTTGACCAATATGGTCTATGGTTCTCTCTATGTAATATATTATTTGACATAGAAAATAAGACAGCATCAAAACAGCCATGTCTTAACTGAAAGACAGTTTTTTCCCTCCAAAGTCATCAAGTTGTATATACAGAGATGTCTGGCCCATCGTCCCTTAGTGTTAATTCATCTCTCGGAAAACTGTGTTTCCTAGTGTATAATTTGGCTGTTTTCCCAAATGTTCTATAATTTGTCTTCAAACTAACAATTTGGTTGCAGTTGTCCAGGCACATTGTTAAGATCCCAAATTCACCATAGTAGTTGGTGAAAAGGCTTAACAAAAGGATATTTACATTTTTGTGTGTTTTGTAACACTATGGTGAGGAAAGGAGTTAGAGAGGTTTGTTGAATACATAACTCAGCTATAATACAGCTTAAAGATTAATGGTTGCGTTTCATAATGTCAAAATGTTGACATACTCAGCATAGGTGTAGTGCTGGAAAGACTTTTCTCTTTTTCCCATGTACTTCAAAAGATCTATTATAGATAACTAACAAATGTTGAAGGAATGTGGATTCTAAATGAAAATGCTCTGTGTGTGTATGTGTGTGTGTGTGTGTGTGTGTGTGTGCATGTGTGTGTTCATGTGTGTGTGATTCTGAATGTGAAAGCAGAGTCTATAAACACTTTGCAGGGCCCTTCCATTCACTGCCCATATTTGAAAAGTTTTAAATGAGGGAAACAGTAGTCAAAGAGTGCTGTATTGAGATAAAACCTTATTCATGAGTATTTCAACTATGCTTCATGGGACTTACAATGTTTACAACTCAAAAGACAAGGCAGTCTCCTCAGTGGTCTCCTGATAGGTTAATTCTTCTGTGGTCCTTAAGTTACTGGACAAATCCCTACTCTCCCATTTCTCTTCTTTTATATTTACTTTGTTAAATGGATTAAAATTATTGTAAGCATTTCATTAAAAAAACTCCTTTTATCCCCAAACCTATCTTCAATGGAGATTTGATCAAATTTTGGAAAAGAAAGCAAGCATCCTAGTTGCCTCCTAGGCAAGTAGGGGTCTGCAAGCAGAGATAATTTTGGAATTGCTTTTTCTCCTGATGCTACTTTTTAACATCTATCTGGATCAGGTTAAATTTCCAAAACCTACTGGAGAATGATCATTTTGGTGGAGCTTTCTAAATTATAGTGGCATTTCTCTGGGCAATGATAAGAAAGCTACTGACTTGGTTTTTAACATGTATGTCTCCACCTCTGGTAGGGATATTTGGTTTTGGAGCTACTATCAAAGGAAATCCATTTCCAAGTCAGGAGGGTTGATGATAATATTCCAGATGTTTCTTCCAGCTGCACACATTTTGCTCATTCTCTCTCTGCCCTTCCTTATGGAACAGATCCCTCAGTGTCAGTGACTTTATGCAATTGTACAAGGACAGCTAGGGAAAGCTTAGGAAATGAGAGAAACAAAGGAATCATTTAAAAGTACTGTCATTTTAATGGTAGCCTTACCCAGGAAAAGTAAAAAGGTCTGCAGGGCAATCAGAAAAAAAATTTATTTTATTTATTTCTCTTAGTGGAAGAAGTAGAGGGCTAGCCCTAGGCTGGTTTATGCTATTACTATTTGATCCCAGTGGTTTTAGTACGGAGTGAGAATGGGAAGAAATGAACTCATGCTTACAAATGTTGCATGTGATCTTGTTTCATTCTATAAAATTCAGAAGGCATACCATCAGAGCTGATAGTAGCCATTAGAACTACTTAATTTGTTTATGTATGGGGAAGTCATTATTCTTAAAATTGCCTCCATGTCTTGAGATCACTGAGGACTGAAGGGAGAAGGACATAACTATGGCAGTCAAGTCTCAGAGTGAAGGATAATGTGCTCTTCTAGGCTCTGTTCTCTGACCCATTGGGTTCATGGAGGAGTGAGGTGGAGGACATAGTGAGGAAAAGTGGCTTGGAGACCAGTGGGCCAAGGCCCTGTATTATATGAATATGAAGCATACTCTTGTTAGGTTTACACAACATTTTCAGTACAAACAGGCTAAAAAAGTTGATTTTTCTATGATGGTCAGTTTCACTCTTAGATCACCCATCTTTGTGTGCTGCTCTGAAGGACCACTCCACAGAGTCCTTAATACTATCACTAGCTATGATTTGGAGAATAAGAAAAGGTGGCATTCTGAGAATTAGAAAATGATCTCTACTACCTTTATACTTTGAACTATCCAGCTCCCTCTCTAATCAGATTTTCAAAACAGCTCCATTTCCATAAGAATTACTCATTGGCTGTAAAGGTCACAAACCAATTAGAATGTAGCAATAGATTTGTACAGAATTGAATGTTGATTCAAATTGGCTCCAGTAATTTGATGCTCTTTAGTGAAACCATCATTGAATTAATCCATAGATAAAGACACAAAACGAGTGGGGGTTGGGGTCTGGGTACTAGGACAATGACTACTTGGTCATACTTTCAAGCCTTTGTGCTACTAAATCTTCCCAGAGAACCTCCTTTTGCCTGCTATGAGGATGAATGGACTTTGAAAGCTTACTAGAAATTGATGTCATCTATCCATTACCATTTAAAGCACACCTTCCTCATCTCTAATCATTGTTGAAGAAAAAATACTTTCTTATCAGAGGGCCCAAGTCTGGTGTCTTGATATCCTAAGTGGTCAATTAATTCATATAGCACCTTGATGCCTATTGGAATGGTGAACATAAGCTCTGCTGAAGGTTGATACCAAACCAGATTTCCATGGAGCTGATTATGTGCTGACTACTTAGCAGATGGAAATCCCTGGCTTCTAGCCCTGACATATGTAAGTGATTTCATGGGGGCAAGGGGTTGTTCCCAAGTAGGCTTCTGGGATTGCCGTAATAGGGATAGTCAATGTTGGATTAATTTCAGAGGGTCTTATATTATTTTGATGTTTCTAACACTAGGCCCCTCCCCCAGCTGGGAATTATGATCTGCCTAGTAAACAGGTGGTGGAGGTGAGATATTGATATCCTGAGCCACTGAGAATTAGTGAAAGTGTCTCAGAACTAATCCTTCCTCCTTCTGGGACTGAAAAGTTTTTAGTTAATTTCTATAATGTCAAGAAACACACTCTTCCTGATTTTCCTTGAAATAATTGGACAAATCTCATGGTAATACACATAGAAATATATTGCTTTGTGATTTATTAAAATAAGCTGGTTTAAAAACAACATCTCTTTACTCTAGACCTTTGAGAAAAAGTCAGTAATTATATCTGTCATTCAATAACTTGATTATTGGTTGGAGAGAGTAACTAAAATTTTCTTCTCTATGTACCTCTCAAATGGCTTCTGGATCATTGCGACAACCAGTTATACATGTCTGCAGTAGCAGGCAATGGCAATGTATTGAATAGGTTCATTTTCTAATCTAAACCAACAAATTTTCTTTGTTGGAACAACTGAAAAACATTTGAGTTCTTAAAAACTCTAATGAAGTTTACATGGCTTTACTAGTTTTTTGCTAGTGAACAATTTGCTGTTCCCCCCATAAGGCTTGGTTTATGGGGGAAGAGAGAATAAGTCTGCTTCAAAAAATTGAAACACTTATAAGCTGCCCTGAAATTGACTTATCATCGTGATATTTATATTTGAAACAAATGGAATATATTTCAACAGAAAGCCAGTGTCTGAAATGGAATATGTAATGCCTTCTAACTCATCACTTACAGTCAATTACTTAACTTCTGTGAATCTCTAAGACGTAAAATCACTGCTTTTGTAAAAGCTAGAAGAAAGAAATGTATAGTTCATTCCTAACATTATTCAAGTAAGAAGACCAAAGCCAACAGAAGTTAAATGACTTGCCGAAGGACAAAAACTTTGTGGCAGGGTTGGGATTCAAACCTAGCAATTCAAATTCAGTTCTCTTGACATGTCAGTTGTTGTGTCTCAGCTATTATGTCTTACTTGAGTCGTCTTAATTCTAAAGGAAAATGAATTGGTTCATCTCCTAAGCAGTATAGTATTTAAGACACTGTGCTTTGATATTATTCCCAACTTTTCCCAACCCTCCCTTAAAAGCACTGTGAATTTGTCTTTGTGAAAAGATAATACAATAAAACCCAGCAGACCCAATTAACTTCAAAGTACTTACTCTGAAAAATTCTTTTGTTGAACCGGAGTCCAGGGTCCCATATGCAATTTCAGTCTGCTTAGCTAAGTCTTCAGCACTCTCTATGGGAGAAACCATCCTCTCCACAGTCAGGAAAGCAGCAAGATTGGCCGTATATGAAGAAATTATGATCAGGGTGAAGAACCACCAAACCCCTCCAACAATGCGCCCGGAGAGTGATCTACAAAATAAAAACAAATCCAGACCCAAAGGGGCCAGATCTCAGTTTAAGAAGTCCTTATCTTTATTTCCAGGAGAGAAGTGGTTTCAGTATAGCTGATGGAGGCCAGAAGTACATGATGTGAGAGAATTAAAACATCAGACAAAAACTGCTTATTAACAACAACATCTCATGTCGTGATTGCATTGATGATGGTACATGCATATTGCTCTTCTGTCCTATACAGGCTTTGCTCCAGTTTAGGTCTTGAAAGTCCTCTAAAGGACCTTGTGTTGAAGACTTCGTTGTCAGTCTGTGGTGCTATTTGGAGGTGGTGGAGCCTTTAAGAGATGGAGCATAGGCCGGGGATTTAGCTCAGTGGTTACACCACCTGCCTGGCAAGCGCAAGGACCTGAGTTTGATCCCAGATACCAAAGAGATGGGGTATAGTGGCAGGAAGTTAGATCACTGGGAGCGTATTCTTTTTTAAAAAATATTATTTTATTGTTACATTTTAAGTCATCTTTGGAAATCTGCACCTTTACATACTCTCTTGGTTCTTATTTTTTCCCCCTTTCCCCTGCCCTCCCTTCAACCCCTCCATCCCTCCCTATTTACAAAGACTTTGTTCCATTTTTTCATTTTCTCATATTAATTCCATTCCTTTCTTTCTTTTCCCCTACCCCTCCCACTTCCCCTTCCCCTTTGCCCCTTTTCTTCCTATTTCCCATTATCTATTACACCTTTTAGTCCTTATTTACACTTTCAGTTTCTCACACTAGAGAAACTATTCGGGAGCGCATTCTTAAAGGGGCCATTGGGACTCTGGCCCCTCTCTCTGCCTCTCTCTTCCTCCCTTCCTCCCTCTCTCCCTTCCTCTGTTTAGTAGTTGCACCGAGGTGAACAGGCCTCCTGTGCTGCACACTGTCATGATATACTGCCTTGTCACAGGCCCAGAGCAACAGGGCCGAGTGACTGTGGGCTGAAATATCTGAAACAGCCAAAATAAATTTGTTCTCCTCAGGTATTTGCCACAGTGATAGAAAGCTCACTAACATAGGTTTAAAAGCAAGATTTTTTTAAATCACAGAAAGAATCATTTTTCCATCTTCTATTTACATGTCATAATTTAACCTACTGAGTTCTCATTCTGTGAGCTTTGGTGGACATGCTGACAGAAAGAATGCTCCATTTCCTTTAAAGCGAGTGGTTCTCAGCCTTCATTGCACAACAGAATCACCCGAGATACTTAAAAAGCATGCTCAGGTCCACCCAAGATCAATTAAAAGGAAGGTAGAACCCAGACACCTGCATTTTGTAAAGCTCCTTAGGTGATTACAATGTGCAGCCAAGACAGACAACCACTGATGTAAGGTGCTATCATGGGACAAACATAGTACAAAAAAAATTGCACATTTGAAGACAAATGGGTAGATACTAGTAAACGGACCCTATTCACTTTGAGCTTAATAAATTTGATAAAGATATTGCCATTTTGTGAAGTTAGCTACTCATGAGGCAAGGAGTTGGATGATAATATTTACTACTATCTTCATAGAAATGGTTCTTGATGCCCAGGAGATCAAAACTTCTCCCTTTTATAAACTATGCCTAAGCCACAGAGGGCAAGCCCCAAATAAGGTAGGAAACTACCTACATAATGTGGTTTTTCAGGCACCAAAAGACTTGTGCCCCCCAAACAATCCCCAAACCAAGAAAACAACAGCCACAATAACCCCCAAACAAAGAGTGCCATTCTCATAGCCTGCCATAGAAATTCTTCCTAATAGAATCACCTTCTGGGTTGTCTTTAAAGCCCTCTACATAAATGCTCAACAATATTCATTTTTATCCAATTAGTGGGAAATGGGAGAGAAGATGGCTAAGTTTTAATAAGAGAAACATTTTGTTCTTCAATGTTACTATCCATTGGGGTGTTTGTTAAAAGGCATATTTAGAATATCCAAGTGCCCAAGAACAACAGGTGATTCTGTTGGAAGTGGTCTGCAGACCAAACTAAGAAATGAACATGTTCTTCATCAGTGATTGTCAGTTCTGCCCGTATATCAATATTTTTTGGGGAGCTTGAATTAAAACAAAGCAAAACAAAGCAAAAACATCCCTTTCAGGGCCTCCATCCAATACAATTAAATTGGAATTCTGGGATATGGGGCTAAGTAGCAGCATTTTATAAAACAAGGTGCAGGCAGAGTTGCAAGTTATAGACCTGTATCATGAGTGCTACTCAGGGAGAGGAACCATGGGAAGTTAGGGGGCCAGCATGAGGGTAATAAACGCTCAATGATGGGTAATGACTTGTACTTAGGAAACTTCGTCTCCTTTGCAATGTTGCTGAAGACTTGCTCAGCTTGCAGAAATGAAAATCTGCTCTCTAGGTTTTATAGAACATTGCCACACTATCCTTAGGACACTTCTACCATGTGGCAGAGCTCCATCCTGGTTAGGCTGTATCTCCTCATGCCCAGAAAAGCTCACAGGAAAAGAACTCACTCCATCATAAAGTCAAGAATAGGCGTAGGAGCCTGGCACACCTCCAGGCTATGTGGGAAGAGGGTAGTTCTGGGCTAAGAGCTGACAAATCAAGCTCTTCTTTGCTTGTACAAGCATTATATCACTTTGAAGCAAATTTAAATTCCTGTGTCCCAAGATAACTTTTCTTTCAGTCTCTGAAAAATTCAGCTGTTTTAGAAGTTACACTCTGATCAAATAATTTTGGCAGGTGTTTTGTTTTGTTTTGTTTTGGTATTGGGAATCGAACTCAGGTCCTTGCTCTAGCGAGGCAGGCGGCGGAATCACTGAGCTAAATCCCTGGCAGGCAGGTGTTTTTATAAATAGTATTCTTTGTTGTTTAGCGGTAACAAACCTACGTATTTTTTTTTTAAGTCTGAAATTCTCGTTGGTCCGGGGATGCCTAAAACAACCATTATTTATTTATTTCTCAAACATAATCACTTTTAGCTTTTCAAATGTGAAAATCTGTTGTGCAAGAGATTTTTCAAACTCATAGTTATACTCTCTCAGAATTTAATCTAAGAACATTTCTCTTTTAATCAGAAAAGGTAAAAACTTCTGGATAAGTCTTAGAATGTGTCACACTTCCCAATGCTAAAAGCATACAGTGTTTCAATTATGAATTTAGACCCCTAATAGTTTTTCTTCACTGTTTTCATATACATTTACTTATTCTGGACTACTCTGACTCTGGGAATAACGTTACTGTATGAAAAATTACAAAAAGTTATGATGTATTTTGTACATGTGCCAACTTCCCTTGATAAATGTAACCATTATGTACCGCAAAGACATACTAATAAAAATCAAAATACCACAAAATAAAAAAGATTGATGAGTCAAATAGTATCATAGTAACATGGTAATAAAAATGGTAATAATAGCTAGCACTTATTGATAGCTTCCTATGTGTCATGTTCTATTCTAATTGCTTTATGCACACATACCAGCTTTTAAACCCCTCCATTCCTTCAGTTAAGAACTATAAGGATTATTTACAGATAATCAAACAGAGGCATTTAGAGATTTAAAAAATTTAGGCATAAAAAGGAGAAATAGAAAATACAACATCTATACTCACATACTAGGAAAGAAACATCTAGATTTTTCTAGTGCAAAATACTCATAATTTGAGTAGGAAAATTCAAAATGGTGTGTAAATTATAGAAGGTACAATTTTCCTATAAACACTGAGAAATATAGTTGCAGGAAGATGAAATATGTTTGGATATTGTTTGTTATCTGTTAATCATTTGGAACGGAACCGCAAATGTCATCCTTAGGTGGTAGAATGGGGTTTTGCTGAGACCAAGGGAAAAACTCACTTTAGAATAATTCCAGAATCAGAGTTTGGTACAAAAAAAAGGTAAATTCTGCTGCTGTGAATACTAATAGTAGTTTATGCATTGTCTACTTGAAATGTGGAGAAAAATACAGTAATTTATGGAAATTACATTGTGCCATTTTGCTGAGGCTAATGGACTGTGGCTGGGTCTGTCTGATCTAAAATCAAGCCTGCACATCATAATCTGGTTATTCTGGCCACTTTAATACAGACTCCGATCATCATGTGGTTGATCTGAATGACTCAGTTAAGATTGGTCGTTGACATGACTGAAAATCAACCTAAATGCAAAATAGTCCTTTTCATGGCCTCATGTCTACCTGGTTATTGACTTTGGCAATTATGTGGTTAATATAATCACATTCAATTAACCCTGTGTGTCCTCAGGTTTCACTTCCACAGTCAACTACCTAAAGAGAGAAAATATGCAATAAAAAACAGCATCTATACTGACCGTGTACAGGTGTTTTTCTTATCATTATTCCCCAAGCAACACAGTATACACAGCAACACAATACAGCCACTGTACTTACAAAGCATTACCATTGAATTAGGTATAATTAGTAATCTACAGATGATTTAAAACAGATGGGAAGATGTGCACAGGTTGTATGCAAACACTACGCCATTTTATATAAGGGACTTGAGCATTCATGGGTGGTGATACCTTTGGAGGTCCTGAAGCTAACCCCCTCTGATACCAGGGGATGGTTTTGCCTGTGAGCAGAGAGAATTTGGGTAACCACATAGAAATTGGTATAATAATTTTACAAACCTCAGTAAAGAGCCCCTGAGGAATCAGTGTACCATGTACAAGATTTCATTCAACATTATACCCCCAAGACAACAGTTGCTTGGAGAAAAGAGTTGGTGAAATTTCAACTGCTTCCTTCCCTTGTTTGACAGAAATGCTTAATCTTTTCACTGAGAAAAAGTGTGTGGAACCCACAGGGAAGAAGCACCTCAAGCATTTTTACATTCTCTTTTTATCATTAGAGAAACTATTTAAACCATTTAAACACACATTCCACATGGAGGCTACAGAAAAAGTGACTAATAGGTCAACCCCATCACATTTTATAAAGGATCTATTAAAACAAGACAAGACTTTATAGTTGAGTTAAAAAGACCTGTCATTTTCTAG